AGACGGAATCTTTATTTGACCCCTAACTATTCAGTTTTCAGCTGGATAACAGTTAACCTATGGTTCTCTTTGGATCCTACAAAATGTGCAGATAATAAGGGATTTGCAATGTGATTAATACGAAGAGAGGTAGAGAAAAACTTCGAGAAGGCGACCATACATTAAAATTTTGCACTGAGTGTCAGAATATATTATTATTTTTATAGAGAAGAGTTGGCAACGCCGCTCAACTGAGAAGTCAGTAAACGGCTGGTTGCCTCGAGCCTCTGTATTTTCGGTTTTCGGTTCCCGTTAATTATAGTCAATAAACTCAAGTTAATTAAATGAATAATCGTTTTATTTAATCAAGAGACATATGACATGGCGCTGCGGTAAAAAAAAAAGTGAAAATTAAGTCGGCGGGTGTGAAAAAACTCTATTGATTTGGCCAGTGTTTGAGGAGAAAAAACCGGTAAATTTCGTTTCGAGTGGGCGACCAGCAGAGGACAAAGGTTTACAGTGTTGACACGTGCGTGCTGGACAAATTGTTTGAAGGATTTTGAAAATTAAATTGTTGGAATTTTTCTGGGATTTTGGACAAAATAAAGAAAAATGGATCAACTCAAGCCTCCGAATATGTTATGTACTGGAGATGGGGATGTGGCTATTAATTTTCAAAAGTGGAAACAACAATTTGAAATTTATTTTCTAGCCAGTGGCATTCTGGACAATACGAAAATGTCAGACGAAAGGAAAGTTGCTATTTTGTTGCATTGTTTGGGACCAGAGGGACAAGAAGTTTATAAAACTTTAGAAATTCCTGAGGATGACAAGAAAAAATGGGACAAAGTTATGGAACACTTGGAAAATCATTTCAAGCCCAAAGAGAATGAAACAATAAATAGGCACTTGTTTCATAGTAGAAAACAAAAAGAGGGTGAATCTGTTGATATGTTCATCACTGATTTGAAGAAGTTAAGCATGAATTGCAACTTTGGAGATCTCCGAGACAGTCTTATAAGAGACAGAGTAGTCTGTGGAATTTTAGACAACAGAGTGAGAGATTCCTTACTACGAGAGGCAAGTTTAGACTTGACCAAGTGTATCTCCATTTGCAAGGCTGCTGAATTAGCTGAAATGCGATCAAAACAGTTGAATCAGGATGCATTCACTGAAGTTAATGCTGTTAGTAGACAAAAGGAAGTGAGGAAAACAAAAAAGGAAGATGAAAGAAGAGGTGATCAGAAAGAATTTAAAGAAAAATGCAAGTTTTGTGGTTGGATTCATGGTATGAGATGCCCGGCGTTTCGAAGAAAGTGTAGAAACTGCAATGAGTACAACCATTTTGAAAAAATGTGTCCAAACAGAAGAAATGTACGAGTAGTAGAAACTCAAGATAGTGACGACCAAGTGGAGAGTGACGATGATGATTTATTTGTAAGGGCAATGACAAAAGAGACAAAATATGTAGCAAGTATTAGGGAATGGCTACAGAAAGTTAGAATAAACGGAAAAGAAGTTGTGTGTAAAGTAGATACAGGAGCCGATGTCAATGTTTTAAATATGAAGACATACAAAGATTTGAATATCCAATTAAGACCTTCTCAGGTGAAGCTAAAAGGATATAATGGCTCGAAAATTGATGTATCTGGAGAAACTACCATAATGTGTGAAATTAATGGAGTTATACACAGCTTGGATTTTCAGATAGTGAATTTGGATGCACCTTGCATAATAGGACTTCCATGTATTGAAAAGTTTAATCTGCTCAAAAAAGTACATACTTTGGATAGCAAGCAACAGTTGAACCAGATTTTGAAAAAATATAGTAGTCTTTTTGATGGGTTAGGAGAACTGGAAAGCTCATATAAAATAAAAATTAACCTCAATGCAGAACCAGTGACACAGGCTCCTAGAAAAATACCCATAGGACTACAAGATGGAATTAAAAAAGAACTGGATCGAATGGAAAAAATGAATGTCATCAGGAAAGTTACAGAACCTACAGAATGGTGCAACTCGATGGTGATTGTTAAGAAACCTGATGGGTCCCTCCGCCTATGTTTGGACCCCAAGCCTTTGAATGATGTCATAGTAAGGGAACGGCATCAACTACCTCATTTTGAAGAGCTAGCATCGAGGATGCCAGGAGCTAAAATTTTTTCTATCTTGGATGCAAACAAAGGTTTTTACCAAATTAAACTACATAAAGACAGTCAACTTCTAACAACTTTTCACGCTGGTAGTTTTGGTAGATATGCTTATAAAAGGGTTCCTTTCGGCCTTTGTTCGGCACCTGAAGTGTTTCACAAAAAATTTAAGAATATTTTTGAAGGCTTGGAGGGCGTTGAGGTCTATATAGACGATGTAATGATATGGGGAACAGATGAAGAAGATCACAACAGAAAATTGGAAGCAGTTTTGGATAGAGCCAAGCAGAGTAACGTGAGATTCAACAAACAAAAGTGTCAGTTTGGTGTTTCGCAAGTAACTTATGTGGGTCATGTTTTTAGTGCTCAAGGTTTAAAACCTGATAGTAGGAAAATAAGTGCAATAATTAATATGAATGCACCAAAGGACAAGAAAGAATTACAGACAATATTGGGAATGGTTACTTATGTAAGTAAATTTGTACCTAAATTATCAGATGTAACGTACTCGATGAGGCAACTTTTAAAAAACAATGTAGATTTTGTTTGGACAAATAAACATACTTCTGACTTTGAAAAAATGAAAAGCTTGTTAACTGAGGCTCCAGTTTTAAAGTTTTTTGATACGAATAAAAAAGTTGTCTTGTCAGTTGACAGTAGTAGCAGGGGTTTGGGTGCTGTATTATTGCAAGATAACTTGCCCGTGGCATACGCATCCAAAGCCTTGACACCTGCTCAGCAGTCATGGGCACAAATTGAAAAAGAGTTATTGGCAATTGTGCATGGCTGCGAGAGGTTTCATCAATACGTTTATGGTAGATTAGTTTTTGTTGAGACAGACCATAAGCCCTTGGAACAAATTTTCAAAAAGCCTTTAGCCGATACTCCATTAAGATTGCAACGTTTGAGGTTAAGGCTACAAATTTATGATTTAGTTGTGCAATACAAACCGGGTAAGGAGTTGTTATTGGCTGATGCTTTGTCTCGCTCCTATTTAAAGTATGCAGAAGGTTTAACTGAAATAGATGATGAAATTAATGCTCATTTATGTTTGATAGTGAATACCTTGTCATTTAGTGAGTCGAAAAGAGAAATTTTTATTAAAAACACTAGTGAGGATCCTGATTTGTCTTTGATCAGTGGTTATATTCAAAACGGTTGGCCAAAATATGATAAAATACCAGATCAATTGAAGGTGTACTATTCCATTAAAGATGAGTTATTCTTTGTTAATGGATTAATTTTTAGAAATAAGGCTGTTCTTGTGCCCAAAAGCTTGAGAGGTGAAATGTTAAAACTTATACATTGTAGTCATTTTGGCGTTGACAAATGTAAATCTAGAGTAAAGAATGTTTTGTTCTGGCCTTTCATGCTCAAGGAAATTGAGGATTTAGTAAAAAACTGTAGTACTTGTTGTAAGTTTCAGAGAAAACATGGACATGAATCTTTAATGTTGAGAGAAGTCCCAAATAGGTCATGGGAAATTGTAGGAGCTGATATTTTTTATTTCAAAAATCAAGCATTTTTATTAGTGGTGGATTATTTTAGCAAATTCTTTGAAGTTAAAAAATTGCATGCTGAAACTGCAGATCAGGTTATAATTGGACTCAAAGAAAATTTTGCCCGGTATGGCAAGCCTCGTATTCTATACAGTGACAATGGACCACAATTTTCGTGTTTGAAATTTAAAAATTTTTGTAAAATATGGCAGTTTCAACATCAAACTTCTAGCCCACACTACCCAAGATCAAATGGCATGGTGGAAAGGTACATTCAAACGTGCAAACAATTACTTAAAAAAGCTGATGATTCAGGCACAGATCCTTTTATAGCTTTGCTAGAATATCGTAACACTCCAATCGATTCACAGTTAGAAAAATCACCAAATGAAATATTGTTTGGTCATAAAGTGAATGCCTTTCTTCCATCATTTGAAGATTTTCATGATAATGACAATAATTCCAGGGTTAAGTCATTTTTAGAGGATAGACAGAAACAATTTAAAAGTTTTCATGATAAAAAGAATAATTTTAAGCCTTTAGATTTTGAAAAAGGGGAGGTAGTTAGGATTAGAGATAATATACATGATATGTGTAAAGGAAAAATTATTGATAAGGGCCCAAAGCCAAGATCTTATAAGGTAGAATTACCTACAGGAAATGTTGTAGAGCGTAATAGGCATTCTCTGTACAAGGCTTCTACTAGTGATAAGTTCAATATGTTAGGTGATAATGTGGTCTCAAATGAGGGGTTTTCCAGCTGTTCTAAAAAAAACTTGGAGTCTGAAGAAATGAATCAAAGAAGAAATTCTCTTAACAATAATTATGACAATCCTGTCTTGAATCAAAATAAATCTAGATTTGGAAGACACCTTAAAAGACCAGCACATCTTGATGATTATGTTCAGTAAAATAAGCTCTTCCTCTTATCTGTGTTAAAAGGGGAGATGTCAGAATATATTATTATTTTTATAGAGAAGAGTTGGCAACGCCGCTCAACTGAGAAGTCAGTAAACGGCTGGTTGCCTCGAGCCTCTGTATTTTCGGTTTTCGGTTCCCGTTAATTATAGTCAATAAACTCAAGTTAATTAAATGAATAATCGTTTTATTTAATCAAGAGACATATGACACTGAGCAAAATGATTAAATATGATCTCCCAGATGAAGTACCTAGTAGTTCTGTGCTATTCCAATTGAAGTTTATTTGAAGCCGCATAAGTAACGTTATTTATAGAATCTTTCCCTCGATAAGGAATGGTAGCTTTTCAAACTACAAAGATACCCTTTTTGTACTGGGAAAAATACATTTAATAATATAAAATTGAAGACATAATTTAATTTCTCTCTAACGCCTGACATTTGAGGACCTAATGCATACTTAAATTTATTAAGAATAGAGATGCTATAAACACGACGTGAGTACAAAAAAATCAACACATTGTTACGAGCTATCCCAATATGTAGAAGAACCTTTCCATAAGATTTGTAGGATATCAATCTTGAATAATAGCGTCCAAGCTGTGAGCAAAAAAGCAGCTACCTTTACCAACTTATCCAAATAATACATCCTGAAATGAAAAAAAGACAAGATTCCATTACTCATTCAATAAATCTCGACACCACAGCATCATCAAACTTACACAAGAGTTTTAATTATGGTCCTATTTGTTTTCTCCTTATTTTCTTTCAGTAAATGCACCCTGGCATGACTACAAGAGATCAAATAATATTCATATATGCTCCGATCGTCTTTGGGAAAAACATTGAAGTTGAAATCGACCATTTCTGTTCGGGGAATTTGCTGCAAGAGTCGCCTTGCTTCTGTATTTATAAATTGCCACTCGTTCAGCATGAAAGGGTACAGAGCCATATTGGCTACATAGATTTTACGTTGAATCTTAAACAGTCTGGAACAAAACAATTTGTAAATTTTGTCAGAATGAATTCAGTGTATTTACCTGGGTTTCAATTGAGCCAAAACCATTATTGTATCCAAAAGTAAAGCTGGTACGATTTGAAAAAGGATAACATTTAGGAAATAATACAGCCAATTAGTGGTTATTGCAGCAGCAGGAGTCCAGATTTTATTTTCAAAGGGTTCATCCCAAAATAGCTGTTTCCCAAAAGTTATATAGGCGCCAAATTTGAACTGACTAGTTTTGTATTTGCTACCATGATAAATTTGTAGTTCGTTTGGTGTTCTAGAAAGATATTTGATGTTAATTTAGGTATTCATGAGAATATTCTGTGTGTCCCATGGACTGAATCTTCGTTGCCATCATAGATGTAAAATAAAAGTCCAATGATTTATCATAATACCTACTCTATTGAAGCCTTATTCCAAGCAGCGCTTATCATAAGTTTAATAGCATTATCAACCGGTATATAATCACTTTCAACATTACCATCACCATAAGCACATCTTAAGAGTCCGCTTCCTGCAGCTATGGCTAAGCCCACTGGTCCATTAAAATTGTCGATCCATCCTACCATTGGATCCGTGATGGTACTAACAACTATAGAGAATTTTTTGTTTATTAAAAAAATTAAAAATAATATCTTCTTATTCTTACCAACGGAAGGTCTAAAAATCACTGTTGGTATTTCACCAAGGAGCATATCGTTTACACAATGCTCGGCTAATTGTTTGGTGTAAGTATAAGTGTTGGGAAATTGTGAAATGTATTTTTGAGAAAAAATTGATAGTGTTGTTGAGTTACAATTTTCTGCTACCAATAGGGCTTCTTTCCAATCTCCTCGAGATGGGTACAAGATTTCCTCGAGATACTATAACCAAAATAATAATAATAGATATTAATTTTTTGTTGAGAAAAGTCTTATGATTGGACGGTGAAGCGATTACCAACTTATTAGTTTCTAAGTTATGATTATTAGACTTTGGTGATAGTGACATGATATATTGATATTTTCTTAAAGACTGATATTTTCTAAAAAAAAAATGTATTTAGGTTTGGAAATGTAGTCTCACTCATTTACCATATCTGTTACCGAGTCTATTACCTTGGGCCCAGCGCTAAAATACAGACTTTGTACACAAATAGCTGGTTCTATAGGTATTCTAAATTCTGGACCAAAAGGAAGTATAAGTAGAGGCATTTATTTACCTTTGACTTATCAACATTACAATATGCAGTTGATACGTGCATAAAAACTTCAATTCGCTTCATTTTTAATGCCAGTGAAGCAGCTTCTCTAGTACCCCTTATGTTGGTGAGAATGGCATCTTTAAGAAAATCATCAAATTTCACTGAAGCTGCTATATGGAAGAAGATGTCTACTTCATTTATTAAAATGCTTTCATCATTTGCTGAAAGAGCTATAAAAAAAATTGAGGATTTTTTGCTACGGACATGTTACTCTTGTACTCACCAAAACCTATTTCCGTGATGTCCCCTTGTATTGGTATTATTTTTTTTAAACTCTCGGCATGTTCTTGTTTCAATAGGGTGAAAAGCTACAATTAAAAGCATTCAATGGAAAAATATAGGTATATTTTTGAATTTGAATTCTATAAAGATGTGGAATAATTTTTATGTAAAAATTAGTCTTCATGTATTTCGGAATATGTCGCTTTAGTACATTTTGATCTGAAACGCCCTTGCTCATAGATTAGCCTTGAAGGAGACCAACTTCTTTTTTTGCCTTGTCCTCTACGAACGTTTGGCAATCATCAGAGCTATCTGTACTTTGTCGACTGCTTTTCTGAATAGACTTGTCGTGGTTTCGCCATACCAGTGACGCAAATTCTTTAGCCAAGATAGTCATCGACGTACAGGGCCTCTTTTGCTTTCATTTATGAGCTTGAGAAATATAGGTAGGTATTTGTCATTCCTGATAATCTGTCCGAAGTACCTACCTACTCTAACTTTCGCTTTTCAAGCATAAACATAACTTCAAAAGATCTTTTGACATTCTGGTTAGCACATCTTCATTGCGCGCTCGGTCCGTCCAAGATATTTCCAACATCCGTCGATATGTCCACATTTCAAAAGCCTCATGGCATCTGTCAGAGTCGACGCCCCAATCCCAGCGAATACTGAAGACGTAGGGACGTAGTACTCGAGTGCGAACGGAGAGCGGGAGACCTCGACTACACAACATGGACTTCATTTTTACAAATGATGCTCTGACTTGTTCAATCCTGGCACGAACCTCCTGCATGTTAGCCCAGTCTTCATCAACCTGACGTCGGACCCGATCGATCTGTTGGTTCTGTACCTGAAGAATACCTCCTCCAACCTGGTTCTTAATAATCACCATCCATTTTTAGCATTCAATTTTAATCCAAATTATCCACCATCAGTAGCCAAATGATCAAGTATTGAAGACCTTCCAGAGAATCAGCGATTATAGAACTTGAAAAGTAATGGACACCGCTTTTTATCCGTACTTCGTCAAACATTTGTCTACCTTGATTTGTGCAGTCTGATTCCAGTAGAGATTTGCGATTATCTTGAGGTCTTTTAGGCCTACATCTTTGAGAATTTTCATAAGCTTCTCGTACCCTGTCAAACGCTTTCTCATGGCCTACGAAGCATGCGTATACAGGAACATATACATCTTACATCTTTGACTAGCACTTGGATGCTAAAGAGGGCCTCTCTTGTGCCAAAACTGCTACCAAAAACCAAATTGGGATTCGCCCGTGAAGGACTCGCCCTTTGCGTATATTTTTTTATGAATGATCTTTAGAAAAATCTTGAGAAAATGCTGCTCATCAAGCTAATAACGCGATAATCTCTTCATCTTTTTGCAGAGCTTTTCTTCGGAAGCGTCACAAATGTTGATTTAGGCTGAGTCAGAGGGAATGCTTCACTATTGCGCGTAGTGACTCATCATTTTTTAGGATCTCAATAAGTTCTGAGTAGTTATCGTCTGGACTTGCAGCTTTCCTGTTTTTGGATACTTAACTGAATGGCGTGTTGGACTTCTTCCTTAGTTATATCTAGTCCGTCTCGCGAAAACTCTTCAGGAATGTCTGATCTCTTGCCCTGAAACAGGTTTTCGATGTAGCTGAACCACTGTTTCACATTGTCGTTGGCATCAAGAATTCTTATCTTGACCGTCCAACAAAATTCCGGTCAGTCGAGGTTTGTATACATCAGCAGCTTCTTCAATTTTCTTATGCATATATGCATATATTGCTTCGAGGTCTTTGATTTCCTTACACCATTCGTTTAGCCAATTTTCTTTAGCTACCCTGACTTTGTTTTTGGTTTCACGATTCAATTGACGATGGCTGGTCTTTTCGCCGTGATAACTTTAATAGGTCAAGACCCATAAGAGCTGAAGACCATGACTGAACAATTACACCATGCTTCTCAAAAAATAGGACTCGAGGTTAACATCACGGAAATTATAAATTCCTCAGTCGCATAATGTACAACTGTCAATCGACGGAAAAGTAAATGAGAACGAAAATGATCATTTATATACCTACTTAGGGAATAAACTCTGATAAAGAACATCAAAAAGCAGATACCGCGAAGAAGAGCATTCTAAAAACTAGGATTTATACTTAAGAACAGTATATGATAGCTGCATACTCCCAGTCAACACTTACGGGTTAGATCAATGAACCTTATGGTAGTCTGCATCACCTACGGAGTACACAACTACACTCACACAGCGAGCTATGGAGAGACAAATGTTGGGTGTCAGTTCAAGGGATCATATGAGGAGCGAAGAGATCAGAAGAAGAACCGGGATAACCTATCTAAAAAAAAACATAAGGAGATCTACCTCCAACAAATTATGGTATATGAAGAAAAATATGTAGCATACTAGCACACTAAATAAAGGTTTCCTATTCATTTATGATTTTTCCTTCAATATATTTATCAACGTTCTAACTTTCTTCGGAGTTAGGAATGAAGTATTCTGATACTGATATTGCAGTATCCCCTACTTTCGTTTTTATATAACTAGGTTACCTAATGTTATAAGTTACAACCATCCGTAGTATATAGAGTTTTTTTTATCGATTCCTGGCTGGAATTTCCGACAAGATTAGCCTTGAAGGAATAAACTAGCCGCCGAATTATTATTATTGATCCGCGTTTTTACCAGAGATTTCTAGTAGAGAGTTTTGTTTGAAAAAGTAGCCTCACTAATCTACAAACCTGCTTACCTATGGGATAGATGGTTCAATAAACACTTATCTTTATAAGTAAAAATTCGTATTATTTATACTCACTGGACAATTTAATATTTGCTCCACTCTGCTATATAAAGTCTTTCCTTTCTTCGATCTTAAAAGAACGTAAATGTTACCTAAACCAGGACAAGATCGCAACAGTTTTTCAATAAGAGCCTTTCCTATAAATCCACTTCCTCCAGTTATAAAAATATTTTTTCCTGAAATAAAACGTACCATTACAAAAAAAAATTATTTTAATTTAAACTATTTGCGTAGGTACCTGTGTAATATTCTTTAATGGATTGTTGTCTCTCCATTTTTTGGCAACTGTCTTACCAAAAAAGGTATAAACAACAATTAATCAATTACCTTTTTAAACAAAAAAATTGTCTTTATGTAGTCACCTGCACATGAAAAAATTGAATACTTTATGAGGGAATATGGAAATATAAATAAACAATTTAAATCCTTTTTTTCTCACTAACACTAATTTTTTAAACTATTCCTTGTATATTTCGAAATGTCTTTGACTTATGGTCATAAGAAGCATCATTATTGTTTGCAAATTATACAGAATAATGCATCGAAAATTTGCAAATTAAATTAGTTTCTTTCAATGACCTTCGTGTTTTTCAAATCAAAAATTAATAACTTATAAAAACCTGAAAAATGTATCGAATCTAGAGTGCTATTGAATTCTATATAGGAATATATTGTCAACTACTTAAGTAAATACCACTCTGTACATCAATTTTACTAAAGTGTGTCGACGAGTCAGCATTTATTTGGTATAAATACCGCGCCGAAATCCATCACCGGCAGACTAAGGCTAGTGCAAAAGTACCTCAAATGGGAAAAGCCCCTCTAGCTAAGTCTCCTCCCAGTACAAACTACCTTTAATGGAAAACGCCCTTCTGGGAGTATTGAACGCAGCAGACTAGGTCCAGTGCAAACTACCTTTAATGGGAAACGCCCTTCTGGATTTGTCTCAAACCAGACCCTTCGGGGAGTATTGAACGCAGCAGACTAGGTCCAGTGCAAACTACCTTTATTGGGAAACGCCCTTCTGGACCTGTCTCAAACTCAGTTTCAATCACGCCAAGTGTAAAGAGTGTATATATTACAGAGTGTCCTATAAGTAGTACGTCCCTCCGTAGAAGAGACGTCATTATACTATTTCTAGGGTAATATTATTATTATTTGATAACATATAGGATTACGCTATATTTAGAATGACGTCACATTTAGTAAATTTCTGCTGCCAACCTAACAAAACTTAAAGTACTGTTTAACGCATTTAGAGTAGGTTTATATCAGATGTTTTTGGTTGGCTATAGCGCGCGACGTTGCATGACTTGTATAAACATTTGCATTTCGTTAGTTTAAGCTGTCGTCAGAATTATTAACACATGAGATTCTGGTAAATTATTGGCATTGACAACATTGCCTGTCCTTGTTCGATGACATCATCCTAAATATAACATAAAAAACCTATATCTTATTGTACCTATACCAAGCGAGTTTCTCTCTACCTGAACCCCACCTACGCCCCCAAGTCACGCTCCTGGCCCCCAATTCTCGAAAAATATCGCATACGAAACTTGATTCGAATTGGACTGACAGCAATGTAAATTAAATGAGAAGCGTTCGAAATCATTCCAAATTTCGCATGCGATATTTTTCAAGAATTGGGCCCCTGTTGTGACGTCCTAGGACGAAACGCATAGGGGTTGTGACAATATTGAATGAAAATTTAATAATTTGTAATTTAAGACAGTAAACAGATGATAATATACGAAAATAGTTTGCTAAAAGCTGGCACAATAAAAAAAAAACTTATACATAGTACAAGTCGGGCTCTTTAGTTATTAATACATATTAAGTAGTACTTATGGCAACTACCTACTCATAATAAAGAATTGGTTTTGGAGCCGAAAATAATAGAGAAACAATTATCTAAAACTAATAACTTTTTATACTGTCAGGTCTTGGGTAAATTAGACAAAAAGCGTGAAAAATAAAATACCTATAATTTGAAAAACTGAAACAAAAAGTCTGGTGTAAAATATAAGGCGCCGAGTTTTTCAAAGCACAAGTAATCCTAACAAAAAGTTTCCTATTTTTAACGTGCTCATTCAGATAGTATTATAAATTCCTTAATTTATTCCACTGCAATAATAGTCCAAGAAACGGGGATCTGAAAAGAGGGTTTACCTCAACATAATTAGAAGTTAACATTTTTTGAGGGGGATCGGTCCATTTTCATGTGCTTAATTACATATTAGGTTTGCGACCTTGTACTTCCATAGGGTTTTTAGTTCGGGGTGGTTTTTAGGGTTAATTTGCGGTTTATGGAGAACGCTGCTCAAAGGGATGGTCCAATAGCAAAAAGTTTCAAATGATTGTTGTAGCTGAAGTTTTTTGCTATAAAAAACTCAGCGACACAGCACCCCTCTATCTTCTATAGTTTTTTTTCTGCAGCGTCTTGAATAGTAGCATGTTTTTATTCAAGGCCACTGTATCAACGTTTTGCCTGTTCCCGTGCATTTGATGCAACAGCGGCCGAATGCATAATCCGATTTCAATTTTTCAAACACCACATTATTGGTAATGAAATGCACTCTCCAATGATTTTTTTTTCGAATTTTTTCCTTGAAAATTAAGCGAGCACGGACTTGCCTAATGTGCGGAGAAGTTGTAAATTACATCGAAAACTACCCCTTTTTTTTTCATTCACTGTAATTTCTAAACGGGGCCAAATATTGGGTGACAGTTTTCAACAATCGGCAGCCCATTTATTCCTCTCATAATGCAAAAGCGGATTTTTATTTTCGTTAATTACTCAATGACATTGGCCTGAACACGTCGCGCAGAATTTTTCAAAAAGTCAAAAAAAATTAAAATTGTCGCACAGCACTGAAATTTGGTACGATGGTTTTATTTATTGTTCTTATATGAATATACTGCAATTTTAATTGCTTCACATGACTGCTGCAACAATTAGAATAGCAGTATATTCATGAGAACAATAAATAAAGCCATCGTACCAAATTTCAGCGCTGTGCGACAATTTTAATTTTTTTTTACTTTTTGAAAAATTCCGCGCGACGTGTTCAGGCCAATAAGTCATTGAGTAATTAAAGAAAAAAAAAATCCGCTGGGGTATTATGAGAGGAATAAATGGGCTGCCGATTGTCGAAAACTGTCACCAAATATTTGGCCCCGTTTAGAAATTACAGCGAATGCAAGAAAGGGGTAGTTTTGATGCAATTTACAACTCCCGCGCACATTAGGAGAGTCCGTGCTCGCTTAATTTTCAAGCAAAAAAATTCGAACAAAAAAGCATTGGAGAGTGCATTTCATTAGCAATAATGTGGTGTTTGAAAAATTGAAATCGGATTATGCATTCGGCCGCTGTTGCATCAAATGCGCGGGAACAGGCAAAACGTTGATTCAGTGACCTCGAACAAAAACATGCAACTATTTAAGACGCTGCAGAAAAAAAAACTATAGAAGATAGAGGGATGCTGTCGCTGAGTTATTTATAGCAAAAAACTTCAGCTACAACAATCATTTGAAACTTTTTGCTATTGGACCATCCCTTTGAGCAGCGTTCTCCATAAACCGCAAATCACCCCTAAAAACCACCCCTAACTAAAAACCCTATGGACGTACAAGGTCGCAAACTTAATATGTTATTAAGCATATGAAAATGGACCAATCCCCCACAAAAAATGTTAACTTCTAATTATGTTGAGGTAAACTTCCTTCATTGCTTGGCCTATAAGGTTTTCGCTATTTTTGTTTTTTTCCGTAGAATTTATGTTAGACGTAGTTCATTACTGAGAAAATCAATTATCGTTATTACGCATATGAAATTCGTTGGCCTTTGATGAGCAAAATCGTAAACTCGTAAACAATAATTTTGTGATTGTCAATTAAGTTAAGGGTCCTTAAAAAATGATTCAAGCAGAAAGTCTGTAACAGTGTATTTGCAACTACTACAAATTATGTGAGCCAGGTCCATGGTGTGAATCTTCTTAAGTTGTACGTGTTGCAGAAGTGCAACAGGACTGGACTGCAAACAATATGGCAAGAATTCGGAGGCTTATGGGCAGAGTTTATCACGATGATTGGGCCTTTGCAGTAGAGAGTTTTCTAATTCATAATTTGAATAAATTCTTGTCTAAATGGGGGCGAGGCGGATAGGGCTGTTGCCAAGGCTAGAGCTAAGTTCATCATCACGATAGATACGTCGTTATACGTTCACATTCGAAACTAAAATAGCGAAGGACCTGTGAAAGAATTCGAAATCGTTTAATCATTGTTTCATGATTTCAGTATCGCCAGGAAGATTAGTCCATTAGCATTAGCCAATCATTTCTCTTCTTTTTACAGCCTGATCCATTCCTGGAAGAAGGCCTCTTCCAAATTCTTACGAGCCCTCCTATCTAAGCAGTTTGGATCCAATTAGGCACTAGCTGACGTCACACACATAACCACGCAATGACAATTTTGTCCCCCTATCGAAAGTGACGTTATATGATTTTTGACGCAATAGCTAGCGCCTGCGTGTAAAAATAGACCTTCAAACGCTTTGTTTGTCCCCCCACCGAAAGTCGAATGTAAGGTTGTGTGTGACGTCAGCTAGTGCCTAATTCCTTCCTTCGATATTTTGAGTCATTCCGCTATCGTCTCTGAGGTCTGCCAAAGCTCCGCTTCTTTTACTCAGGCTCCAAATAAAAATCCTATGTGACCAACTGTGCCCATCACCACAACCTTTAGCATATATCCGTCACCCCAGCCTCTCGCGGATCATTTATTTCGAATTATGTCTTTCAAAGTAATGTCGCAAAATGTGGCGCTCCGGCCAGGGTGGTCAGAATTGAACAGCATCTAAATGCTGACGCTCTGTCTAGACGGCCATGTAAAGAAGATTGCAAGCATTGTCAAAGAATCGATATGCATAAGAAAAGCAGTGATCCAGCTGTGAGAAGAACGGGTCTTATGGTTGATGATAAATGGACTACCAAACAAATGAGAAAAGATCAAAAGGCAGACCAGGATATCGGGCAAATTGTACATCTTAAAGAAAATGATGAATGTAGGCCAGAATGGAGGGAAGTGTCAAACAAAAGTTTAATTTACAAAGCGTTGTGGGCTGGGCTCAGTGGAACTCTTTGGCCTTAGAAAGTGGTTTACTGAAAAGAGTTTGGGT